CGGTGAGATTTGAACAGCCGAACTGCAGATAACAGTCAGCTGAAGTGGCCTGCAGTACTGCACCCTAACCACTGCGCCACCTCGGCTCTTTTGACACCCCTGTGCTAAGCGTACACCGATTTCCCCGCCTGGTTTTTTTTTTTTTTTTACTTCCTCTTCAATCCCTGCCATTTAGTTCTGGTTTATTCATTTGGCTCACAACTGTGCATTAAATTTCTTACACAGCCCATCTCACCTAATTGGGTGTTTTATTCGGCAATGTGAAGCGCTAGAAAAGCCCAAACGGATAAAACAGAGGTTAAAAAAAAAATCAGGATTAACGCTTACAGGTTAAACGTTAAAAAAAAGTAAAAATTCAGTTTAACGAAGCAGAAGGAGCTCTCTCAAACGCTCAGCCGTGCCCATCCCACTCTTAAGACCCCCCCCCCATGCTAACTTTCCATGGAGAAAGTCAAGAGTTAAAACTACAGACTGTGGTCATTGTGTTAGCAAATACAGTCCTTTGCTAGGTGTGTTTTTTATTTGAGACTAGCCGATAACCCGGCATTCTCCGGGTACTTATTTAAAGGGGGTGGGGGGAAATGTCCGGACCAAACATAATTTCTAACGTTAGATTTTCCCCCTTACCAGAAGGAGCCCCCTTGTGGAGTACTGTGAAGCCGTTATTATCATGGCAACTCCACTGAGCTGTACAGTAGAAGCCATTTTACGGCAATACAGTAGAAGCCATTTGAAGGCACAACAGACTGTATCTTAACAGAACACATACCCAGAGGGGTGTGAGGACTGTCTTACCCCCACAGTATTTGTCTTCAGAGAGTAAGTCATCTATGTACCAGGTTTGGTTGAAATTTTTCAGCGGCCCAGGCGTTTCAGAGTTATGCTGGAACACACACACACAGAGACTCACAGACACACAGACACCCATAGAGCCATTTTTTTATAGAGAGAGATTTGGAGAGTATCGCGACACCCTTCAAATATTTACTAGGGTGGCATGCAGAAGAAAGTTTAAACCCGTTTGCCATAGTTCCAAAATGCAGATTTTTGGGAACAAAAGATTGAAATTAAACAACCTTCCTAAAAGACATTGCTGACTTCTGTCCCCACGGCTATCAAAACCTAGATGAGCAAAGGATACTGAATCCTTTCCAAATACTGGGAGGGGTGTGTGGAATTCTCAGGGTTTCTTGCACCCATGTCCAGCGAATATCTTTCTTCCTTCTTCACTGGAACAATCTTCCAAACAGGGAATAATCCAGCTCAGGACAAGCTTATAATCAATCTTACGCAGAGGGTAAACATGTGTTAGAAGCTTAGAGCTTTGTGGGATTATAAATTGGGGTGGTAACAAGCCAAATTTAACAGAATAACAGACATACATGGCTTTTTATGGTTTAAGAAAAACAGAAGTGTTGGAAGGGGACCTTGGAGGTCTTCTAGTCCAACCCCCTGCTCAGGCAGGAAACCTTATAGTATTTCAGACAAATGGCTGTCCAATCTCTTCTTAAAAACTCCCAGTGTTAGAGCATTCACAACTTCTGGAGGCAAGTTGCTCCACCCATTAATTGTCAGGAAATTCCTCCTTAGTTCTTGGCTCCTTAGCTCCTTAACTTAGCTCCTAAGTTGCTTCTCTCCTTGATTAGTTTCCACCCATTGCTTCTTATCCTGCCTTCAGGTGCTCTGGAGAACAGCTTGACCCCCCTCTTCTTTGGGGCAGCCCCTGAGATTTTGCTATCATATCACCTGTAGTCTTTCTCTTTGTTAGACTAAACATACCAGTTCTTGCAACCGTTCTTCGTGTATGCTAGTAGAATAAGAGAATAACAGAGTTGGAAGGAACCTTAGAGGTCTTCTAGTCCAACCCCCTGCTTAGGCAAGAAATCCTATATCATTTCAGACAAATGCCTGCCCAGTCTCTTAAAAAAAAACCAGTAACGAAGCAGCCACAACTTCTGGAGGCAACTTCTGTTCCACTGGTTAATTGTTCTCAATGTCAAGAAATTTCTCCTTCTTTGAAAGTTGCTTCTCTCCTTGATTAGTGTCCACCCATTGCTTCTTGTCCTGCCCTCAGGTGTTTTGGAGAATAGTTTGACTCCCTCTTCTTTGTGGCAACCCCTGAGATATTGGAAGACTGCTATCATGTCTCCCCTGGTCCTTCTTTTCATTAAACTAAACATACACATGCCCTCCGAGGGCTCTGTTATTCTCCTATTCTNGGAAACTAATCAAGGAGAGAAGCAACTTAGAACCGAGGAGAAATTTCCTGACAGTGAGGACAATTAATCAGTGGAACAGAAGTTGCCTCCAGAAGTTGTGATGCCCCAACACTGGAAGTCTTTAAGAAGATGTTGGATAGCCATTTGTCTGGAACGGTGTAGGGTTTCCTGCCTAGGCAGGGGGGTTCTGTTATGTCTCAACTTGGGACACCACTGCTGGCCACTAAGAGGTCTTGCTGTTTTGGTCTTAAATTTGGACCCTGCCTTTTGGGGGAGAAGCTGAGTACCCAACAAAGACAAGGCCAAGGTCAACGGTGAGTTGAGTCCCTCTTACCTTTGGTGTCGTTCACCGGGTCCATGTGCCTGTAGATGTACCCCTCTAAGTAGGAATGGAACTTGGGCGTGGGCGGGAAGAAAGCCAGGCAGATGGACATCAGCTCCCAACCCCGGGCGAGACTCTCGTAGCGGAAATTCTCGGTGGTCTGCCGGCACAACTGGATGTAGAGCTCATCCCGGAGGCCCTGCATGCTCCATCCTTTGGTGGCGATCTCCAGAGCTACGTTGAGCTGGTCCGTCTTGGACCGCCGGTCGCCCATGTACATCTGGATGAGCTTGAAGATCTCACAGGCTTCCTTCTTGACGTTGCGGTCGCTGGTCATGATCATGGGCTTCTTGATGGACTCGCTGCTCCAGGCCAGCATGTTCGCGATGGAGATCTTGCGTCGGAAGAGACCTTGGGTGTGCTTGTTGAAGTGCTTGGAGGCCCAGTTCTCAATGTCCGTCTCCGAGGAGGGCTTCCTCAGGTTGAAAGTGGGGAAGACGCAGCTGTTGCTCGGCATCATGCTGCGGTTTTGGCGGCTGCTCTCAAACTGGACGCAGGCGCCGAGATCTTCTGACTGGGGAGACAAGACGAGAGAGGACAACAGTGACCAAAGGGCCTTGCGTGAGGGGAGCCCACCACCCACCCAAGTCCAAATGTTGTTCCTCATTCCAACAACATTGGAAAACGGAAGGAGAGACATCCATTTCACAAGGACGCTTTTTAATAAGATAGATAAAAGTCTGTAGAGATTCTCAGTCATCCAGATCATGGTTGTCCCAAAGGTGTTTTTTCAGGAGGCAACTGGATTTTCTTGCTCTTCTTTTGAAGGCAATCCGCTTCTCATCTAAGAAGCTTCTTTAGTGCTAACTGGATGGAGGGGGAAGAGAAGGGTTGATAACTCCTTGCAGAGAAAGCTGGTCATTTGCATCCTTTTAGAGGGTCGTTGAGGCCACTTGGAGGTTTCTCTGTGTCCTCAGGGATCAACTGAGTGGTGCAAATGGTTCCTGTAGTCTGCAATTTTTCCTCTGAAAATCCATTCACCATTCAAAGGGTCTTTATCCCAAATTGTATAGCTAAAAGTCTATAGAGATTTCCAGAGGGAAAAAAATGACCCCGAGGACGCAGATAAATCTCCAAGTGGCCTCAAGGACCCTCTTAAAAGGATGCAAATGACCAGCTTTGTCTTCAAGGAGCATCAACCCTTCCCTTCCCCACCATCCAGTCAGAGCTGAAGAAGCTTCTGGGATGAGAAGCGAAACAGCTTCAAAAGGAAGAAGCAAGAAAAGTCCAGGTGCCTCTTGGAAAAAAGCACTTTTGGGACTTAAGATAGATAAGATCACCTTTATTGTCAGCACACATTAAAAATGAAATTCTATTGAAAGTGTGGGAAGTTATCACCCAGCCCTCTCCCAGAAAAATGAAATATCCTAGGAAATATTGAAAAGGCAGAATATTTCTCT